TATATCTTCGTTCTTGTTAATCTTTATTATTGTAACAGTTATGTAAGTAATGAAATATCTACCTAAATAACACTGCGATTGATTATTTTTATTCAATTACTGTGATGATAAATTAATCTAAAAAGAGTTTTATATCGCTTATTAAAGGATGGTAATCGAATTTATTGTATATTTTAGTATCTTCAGAGAATGAATAGCAAAAGTGTTAGAATTGTTTTAGTAGCGCCATCTTTCACCTGTGAATTGTAAAAATAATTTCCACTCGGGCTGTAACTCGGTGATTGATGTACCCCGACATCTAGTGACGAAGTTGCAAAACATAGAAAGGTTCAAAAACCACTTCTACGACGTGCTTCAATGAAATAAGAAATGACGTAATACTAAAATAAAATATTATTAAAATAATTAATACTCACACTTATGCATATTATCTATGCAACGAAGTGTGGTTGACGTTATTTAGATTTTTAAATACATAATGTAAATATTTTAATGTCTATGGTTTACAAGTAGGTGTTAAAGATTATGTTTTAATGCAGGGGCTTGCCAACAGATGTCGCGTAATTAAAATTAAGAACTAACCATAATAATTTCGATTAATAAAGAAGAAAAGAAAGGGAATATATTTAGAAATAAAAATTTTAAGAAACTTGAAAATTTTTAACAAAACCTTTTCATGTGCTATTCAATTATATTGTGTGGTACTAAATGAATCCTTAATAAAATTCCATTAGAGTTTTTTTATAGGTAAATAATATTTGTTGGGTCAGTTTTATACAAATAGGTAGTTTCGACAAAGGGCATTAGCGCAGCGGATTCATTTATATTATATAGTGTAATTATTAACAAAAATAATTATAATTATTGCTCCTTAAAAAAGATAAACTGTAAATGTTATTAATGTTTATGAACATGTTATATGTTGAAGATTTCAATACAACCTATCTTGTCTGTGTATAAAATATAAGTGATAAAAAATAAAACAACTTGTACACATTATATACAATTAAGTTTATTTCTTTTTTTTTTTCAAAATAACAAAGAATTAATTTTATTGATCTAAAGGTTTTAAACCGAAGACCTTACATATCTATTAGAGCTTACTATCAATTTCATTGTTAGTGAATTTTCTATACTTAGGTAATAATATATTCTTGGCAATTGGTAAATATTAAAGAGATAAATGGACAAAATAAATGACGCCTTTAGATTTGCCTATTCTGACAATTACATAAAAATTCTAGGTAGTAACCAATATAAAGACAATATTTTTAACAAAGTCTAAAATAAGTAAGATAAATCTAAAGGAATCACAACAATTATTGTCAAGTTTACCAGAGTAAAAACTATCAACGAAATTGATGTAAGCTTTGACTAGATTCAAAATTTTATATTACAATCATAAAAGACATTTTTAAACACTGCCAGTTAATATATCATAACTCTCATGAAAATAGTTATAGATCTCCCATTTTTAGGCGCCATCTTCAGGGCGACTGCGAAACAATTTTACATCCAACATTTTATTTTATATTTAGACGACTTATAATGTATATATATATCTTTTTATTTGTTTATATTTATTTGTATTTTGGGAGACCTTTAATAAATTGTATTTATTTAGAGAAAGCTACGAAAATTGTTTGAGCGTTGGATAACAGATGTCGCTACTGGCGTTCTTTGCGCGGCAAAAGTAAATTTCAAAATGGCGTCACAATCCAATCTCATTTGCAACACGTTTTTCCAAAATTATAAAGCGTAACTTTGGAAATATAATTAATTAAGGGTTAGGCAGGACATGATTTGACTTATATTAAGAAATTTAATGAATTCGATAAAAGAAAAAAAAAGCTGCCAGTTATTGAAATTGCAGCTCGTAGTTGAAAAATATTTTTAAGAAAATACAGAATATGTATTATTACTTGTTAGTTTTGTGTTGAAAACACTTTACGCTTCCTCTCTTCCGTTCACATTTTCAAAGTCTTAATTTTGGTCCTACAGATATTTGACCCAAATGTCCGCTAACACAATCCAAAGTTTTTACAAGCCTCGTTGCGGAAAAGATTTAAAAAGATTGGGAAAAAAATATAATAACGTCTTAACTCTAATAATAAAAATCACAGAATTTCAAACTTCTAACATCAATTTGCCATATTTGGGGCATTCAAAATTGTTTACTTTTAGAAGATATAATTAAAGTACTTTTAATTTATTTTTACGACCGTGGATAAATATTATCGATCTATGGTTACTTTTTGATTTCGGAAAATATTGACTTAGTCTGTGTACATTTTTCATATACGATTTATACTATTTACATTATATTTCGACATTTAATTTAATTATAGATATCATTTGCGCGATAGAAACGAAGAAACAAGAACATATTATATTACTTATTTATACTTAATTGATAGATTCATCAAATTGAATGTCTACGTTTGATAATTATTAGTAGGTAATAATGGCATTATTTGGAAGAAATTTTAATAACACTGAATTCGGTTTATTAATAATAATGTAGCGTTGTTACAAAACTCGTCGGCTTCGGTTAGAAAACAGCGCTCAAGCCGAAGTAATCTAGAAAATTGCAATTCACAAAAACCATTACAAACGTGTATGAAATTGGTATTTTATTTACTTTGTCTATTATATACTGGTTTTAAGGCTGTGAAACAGATAACTTGTTATGTACTGTCTATAGTTTACGCGAGTAGTACACATTTAAATAAAACACTTTAACGGTTTAAAACGAGATATATTAGTTAAACTTATTTAAAATAATCAATCATATAAGTTTAACTAATATATCGCGTTTTAAACCGTTAAAGTGCTTTATTTAAACTTGTTTTGTGTTAGTGGTAGGTAAAGATTACATGAATCACATATTACTATTTTGCAAAGCTTCATGTGTTTTCAAGCTGTTCGGACATCGTAATTCGTCTTCGCTTGGCTGAGGAATTTGCAACATTCATAGTGATGTCATCTACTCTTAATCGTGGGACTTCGGAAACCATTTCTCAATTACGTACGCCGAATAGCTTGAAACCCCAATTGACATATTGTAACTAAAGTGCTAAGTTACGGCTTCGGTTAATTAGCTTCGGCTTCAGCCCAAAATTGTCCTTGTAACGTAACGAAACTCTTGTAACAACCCTACATACCTTAACATTAATCCTATTTAGTATTTTTTCAACGCATTCAATGCCCAAGTTTATACTAACTTAATATATAGTTATTTAACAAATTAAATAAATCTCTATTATAACCACATAAATTCATCTATCTATACATAACATTATATATCTATAGCGATCATAAGACATCCATATTTAGGGGTCTACAAAGTAGTATAGAGAGCCGTTTGGTCTAGTCTAGTGGAACGAGTTATATTCGTGCGGTAGTTTGATTCGATCTTTCTCCAAGATATCTGAATTTATCTTGATACATGGTAAAGGAAAACGTGGTGTGGAAAAGGGCGTTTCCTAGAACCAAAAATTTGATGACAGTCGCCTACAAAATACTGTCTGTAGTTTACGCGAGTAGTACACTATTAAAAATTATTTTCACTACGGCCCGATGTTTCGGATGCTATGCAGCAATCATGGTCACGAGGAGACTAAACGTAGACGCTAGCAAGCGATTTCAGTGACGCCCTCCATTTTTAATTTCCCCGTGACCACACCTGCTGCTAGACATCCGAAACGTCGGGCCTTAAAATAATTTCAATTAAGTTTAAAGTTTTAATCCGTTAGTCTTTTTTAAAGTCATCTACCATGTGGTACACTGAAGTCTATACAACAGACGCTCTAAGAAGGCCGAGTTGCAATTATTGTAACTATACAGGGCCTGACGACATTTACTAAGAAGAAAACATTAATTCGGATGACGAACATTTCATTGTTTTTTCATTGCATCCGATATTTGATAACATTAAAACGGCATGTAGCTACAGAATTTTATATATCTTTACACATCTATCTAAGAATTACCCACTGTAGTTTAAGCGCTAGTTTAAAATTACATTTTTAATGATCTACGAACAGTTTTCACACGTGCCTTTACATCGACGACACGACTATAAACGAGGATGTTTATCTACACCTAAAACTTCACTAACACAGAGCAACAGTATGTTTTAATGAAATCTGAAGGCACTAGTATCCTGGTGTCCTAACATAAAACAGGATTCTCAGTGCTCAATTCCCTCGAATATAACTATTTTCCTATGATATGATTTGTATTATTACTATTATCATGTGCTTTTATTTGTTTCAAAATCTCTGGATCTTTAAACCGATAGACGTACCACGACCATCTGTTTCACTTGATTATGAATACCGTATCCTTAAACATCCAATCAAGAAATTCTGAAATCCACAGACTGAAACGCTGATTCACATTTCGCGACTTTACCATCTGTGGACGGTGGCTCTGTGTCCCGGTTTCGATATTCATACCACCATTAAATTAATGACAGGAATATAGAAGTTAAAAGATACAGATGTCCCACCTATAAATGACAACATTATTTAACCCATCAATTGCACCACATTTTTGAAATCAAGTGATATTTCTACTTAAAGTACGTGTTTAATGACCCAGAAATTTCATTTTGAACCCCGAAATGTCGTAAATCTTAATTTTTAATACTGTTCGACTATAATAGATGGACCATGGTTTCAATGAAGACCTGAAGATCGAAAAAGCAGTCAGAGAGAGCAAATCATATAGTCTTAATAACAATATAATTGAATTTACTACCTACGTCTATCCCTCAATACATTCAAATCTATTTTCATACGTTATGTCATCATTCGTAAATATCTCCTATGCAACGTGACCGGTAGCCTCAATGTCTCCATTTAAAGTCTATGATATCTGTATATCAGGCAGTATCATGTTAGATCTGTAGACATAACCTAATAATTGCGGCAAATGTCACTCCAGTCCTGTCTGGTTCACACATAGCTCTCGAGGTGAGCTTCGTTAGACGGATCCTAGAAAGATGCCTCCACGAGATATGTACCATCCATCGCCACGCCAGTCTGGTTCCCTTGCACTGTGCTGCCAGCTGGAATGTACTTGCCACAAGCTTGCTGAAACAGTGGAAGACGCAATTAATTCGTGCGTCGGGTCGTAAAATCGTACGCATTAAATAACCTACTCACATAGCTCTTCTTAGGATTTGAAAATTAAATTTCTATTAGCTATTATTTTGGGTACTATTACAATTGAGTACTATCTACTTTAATATAATGCCAATTGTAGAATATCAAAGATCGAAGCTTTGATACAGCAATACTTAACTACATTTATAGAGGAAGCACTGAACACAAGCTAAGGATCATAGGAACCATAAGATAGAGAACAAAATTTTAAAATTTGTTACAAGTGAACAAGTTGCAGTGGATTTAAGTGTGATGAGTAATATAGGTGCTTGGATCATGCTATCGTTACAATGTAGACCCATCAGTGTGTAAGTTTAGTGTAGTGTATATTTGTTCGGCTGCACTGCAGCTTGCCTCAGGTTTTGCGGACCTCGACTTTTTTCGATAAGCGCTTCTACAGCAAAAATAAATGGCAACCCCACATTGAGCATGTGTGCAGTGTGTTGGCAATGACGTCACTAATGTCAATGTCGCTGTCAGTGATTTGCAAGTAGCAACACTCGAAGCACTTTACGACACTTGTGGATCTACTATCGATAGAGGAAATCGCATTATTCTATTTAATACATAGATGATGTATTACAAAAACGATTTTAATAAAGATGGATGAACAATATCAATGAAATCCAATTTTGATTGATTCATAAAGTTTTGGATTTTCTTCGGGTAGGATTTTTGTTCATCAACACACGGTGAAACTAGAAAAATGCGACTTATTACAATTGAAATTACACAATACACATTGAATTACATCTGTATTACCTCACATTGACAATAAATACGACGGCATCACAGCAAAAGCTTAAAATAATACACATCAATTTACAATCATCATTGAAACTTTAAGAGATTTTAAGCAACCATTTAGCAGCCAACACCCTGCATACAAAGCCTTTTCGCCAGATACCACGCAGCGATCTTTCTAACCCCCCCCTTTTCCCCTTACTGTATCCAAAGTAACCGATATTACTATTAAGTATGTTGTTTTTTTACGTTCCCTTTGTAGGCAAACTATCTTTAAAGTAAGCATCTTTTAGCTACTTGACCACGATCTCCTTAACTTGAAGTTGATATCGAAAGGCGTTAAAACAAAAGAAATAGATCAATATTGAAATTCTGGTAACCTAATAATTGAATTGACACAGTCTGGGGTAACATTTAGTTGACTAAGTGGTAAGAATGCGCGAGAGTGCTTACACACGATCCGACACGATATCGGACTTCGATTGATATTTTTGAAATTGTGGATAGGTTAAGGTATTTAGTCCCCCCGATCGCTGCATGGTAGTACTGGCAAGACATACTGGTAAGGGGTCTTCGCTCGGCGCGGCGGACACAGATGTGTCTGATGGACGCGACGTTGCGGTGTATCGTCGAGTACCGCGCGCTCGTTTTCTACTCGAGTCTAATAGCAGGACCTTAAATTTAAACTACCTGTTAGCCAATTGGGTACGAACCAGATTTAACCGACGACCAAGCGTTTGGATGGCACCTGTCGAAAGGACAGTGATGCACGCTTTAGAACCACTTGTTACCTATATCTATTGGGCTTGCTTATACACTAACAAGAAATGTTATTTGTCCTTGTGAGTTCATTATAAAAGATAGACATATACTGTCGGAGTCACGTTTTAAAACGTTTTGGAGGAATCATTATCTGTAACATATTTTTGGGTATCTTGTATCGTTTTCCCGAAACCCCCACAAAAAATGTTTTTTTTTTCCCAAGTGGGAACAATGCCACGTTCTCTTCCGTTTCTTCGCTTCTATTTGTCGCAGTGCTATATTTTATAGCCTAAAGCCTTCCTCGATAAATGCTCAAATTAATTCGGACCAGTAGCTTCTGAGATTAGCGCATTCGAGAAAACAAACTCTTCAGCATTATAATATTCAGTATATATTGACTTATTGCATTTATGTAGATTTTAGTAGCTTGAAGATGTAACGCTTAAAATATAATGAAATTCGTACGTAATTCACTACAGTAGGCAATGGTCGGGTCGCTAAAGGATAACAAATAAAACAGTAATAGTTTGTAAGTGTAATGAAGAAGTGGTAATCATTAAAAGTGTTCTGGCTACATAGTCGAAAAATAAAAGGGTTAGCATAACAAAACGTTTCTACTACTAATCACTACGAAAATGGGATTAAATCTGGAGTCGAGTTTTTATTTCACTAAGATTACTTACCGAAGTAACTTGTATAGTATACACTGTATTAATATATATTATATCATGTTTTAAAGCCGAATAAGATTTGCCTTAGCCATAAATCGTACTTAAATTTAAGAAATATATTAATATTGCCAATATATTTGCGATTAACTTGCTGGTATCAATAGCTGTTCTGATTAAGCATAGCATATAACTTGTGTTCCAGCGAAGCTCTGTAAATTTCGATATAATTTGGTAGATTCTGGTATTTTGGGAGTGTACCACGCAAGCACGTCAGGGGCACAGTCTAGCCACACAAGCAACAATACGGACATCAATCACGACATCGGTAGATGACGTTTTACGACCAATAAACAGTGTGGAATGTTCGGAACAATTATTTGTTGTATGTGTCATTGACTGCAATTCTGAAAAGTTCTCTATGAAATTATTGCCAATTTGAGAAAAGAGATGTTTTTGTTATTAACTGCTTATATTACGTTTAAAGTACGTTGTTAGAGTCGCTGATATCCCCAGCATGCTAACACGAGCAATATTGGTCGTAAAAACACCGATACGCAATTGAAACATCAAGGATGGTGCTGTGTGCTGTTTATACCTCACGATGCGGACACGACGCGAGTCCGATCGGACTGACGCACCGTACCGAACGACCGCGCTTCTGCCATTACACAAAACCCTTAGAAATTATCATATAAATAACCTATACTACTAACGTGTTAACGTATCGAAAACTATATCTCGTCTACGTGAACTAACATGCCATAAAAATGGTAATTATTACCATACGTCAGCCTTTACTACACCTCCATCGGAAACTAAATTAGAAAAGAAGCTGTTTGCAACTATGCCATGTAAACACCTAGTAAGAGTTCACACAAGTTAGTTCCGTTAGTGAAAGGGCGTTTAAACTGTTCCGTTAACACATTTATAATTGTACGGCGTAGGTAATAAAGTTGAAGTTACCTGGTACTTCTGTGGACAACAGCCGCATCGCGCGCAACAAGCCAGCAGCGCTGGTGCGCGCCCCGAATGCGCGGGCGACGCCAGTGGCGACGGGGACCCGGGCCGTTTCGCGGCCCCATTGAATGGATTTTCCATTTCAACAAATTCACGATCCTGGAATATTTTGTTGTATTGGTTTTGAAAACCCTAAAAGGAAAGAGACTGAAGGATTAACAAAATAAAAATAACGATTTTGTCGTCTTGTTATGTCAGTTTGTGATCGTCTATTTTCGGTAGCCAATTATAAAATGATATACAGTAACATAAAAAAACAGTAGCACACTCAGGGAAAATAATATCACAACATTTATTCAAAGCACGGAATTTTACATAAAACATGAATATTGTTACTTAGGGTCCGTCAGTTGTCCCAAGCAAATTTAACCATCTTCAGAAATAAAGGACGTTATTTAAACAACAGCAATGTTTTAACATTGATTAGCCAAAAAACGTTTTACCAACACTTTCCCCGAAAGCACAGATACACTGTAGCCCTGAAAAACTAGTTGATTAGTTAACACCACATTGTACACACAGAAGAAGCGTATCAACCAACACCCATAATCCTTATTTTTTACCGTTGTGCGTTCCAAGCATCTTAGCAGATGGTGGTGCTGCAATTCGAAAATGTCCTCGTCGCGGCCTGCGTCGTCCAACTCGACTCCGGACTCTTGCGCAGCGAGACGGGCCTCGGCCGCTTTCTTCTTGGAGACGAAAGCGGCACCAGATGATGCTTTGGCAATTCTGATACGAGCGAGGCGGGCTTTCTGGAAATATAGATGATGAGGCTAACTTCATGGAAGGTGAAATGCGTTTGCGTAGCTATTTCGGTTTTGGGCTTTCTAATAGTTTCCAAAATGCAAAGTCGATCATTGAAACGGATTTAGAAATGTGTCTGCAATAGTCACTGCAAAGACATTGATTTATAACAAATGTCAAGTGAAGTAAGGTTTATCGAGATTGGTATTAAAGCAAATGCCGTTGTTACAAAAACAGACACATCTGTATGTCCGCTGTACTAAAACACCCTGGTAGTGGTAGTATACAAATAATCCATGTAAAATTGTAGTCTCGCTGTTAATGCTGTGGATATATTATAAAGAAGTATACTATGTATTGGGAATGTTTAATGAATCCGTTACATTGTTTTATAAAATTATTAATTACATATGGAGGTATATTAGAAAGTCAATATGATCTGTGTTTAGTTTAAACTTCAATTACAATGCATGATATATCATTAATCATTATTCTATTTTTATTAACAATGTACAAGTCAATAAATTTACTAGTTACAGACCTAGACCAGACCAGACCCATTTGTTTGATTAAGAATAATATAAGTCCCTATATAAACAAATAATGTTTACCCTTTGAGCCTTCCTCTTATCAGCTCTTTGGTTCTGGTGGTAGATCCGGGAGAAGTTGGAAACAATGACCGGCACGGGCAGAGCGATCACAAGCACACCAGATAGGGAGCAAACTCCCCCCACTATCTTCCCGGCAATAGTCCCGGGAACCATATCTCCGTACCTTTAAAGGAATTTAACTTTTAGTATAGCCTATAGTTGAATATGTTGAAATAAATTTTTTAAACGGTTTAGATCGCGATTTATGTTCTGTTGTTTTGTTAATATCTACAACGCATGGCAAGAACATCCATTTTAAATGAATTACGAAAAAAGTAATCAAAATATATGGTGTTTTCATAAAAAAGTATTTTTCTTAGACAATTTTATTCAGTAGGTATGTTACATAATGTCTGTTTTCGTGTAACCGATTTTATCTAGTTTTAAGAAAGGATTTTTACAATTTATATCGACATGAAATAATGATAAAAATACTTTACATATCATACACTAAACATGAGACATCATTGAAAAACAAGCTTCGTCTTCAATAGTTTTCCGTTTTGCCTAGCAAAGCTATAAAAGTCCTAGGACTTTGGTTAATTTAAAATTTGGTTACTTACACAAGGGAACGCGTTTAAAACGCGATATTTATTATTTAAACTTATTTAACGGTCCGACGTTTCGGACGCATTCGGATGCAGCAGCCGCGGTCACGGAGACACCGTATATATCGCGTTTTAAACCGTTAAAGTGTTTAATTTAAAGACTGTCTATGTTTAAGTTTATCTAGTTTTCGTGGTTCGTGGTTCTTGGTTCTGATTGTTGAGCTTTTATCTACGTCAGTAACCATCCAATGGACGTAATTAAAAACTGAATCCTTTACCTATGTATTAATAATTTTGCTTATAAATTAAGCCGTACATTAGCCAGTGAATACTTATTAACAAAAGATCAAAGCTTGGCGCGGTCGTTAATTTTCCATCGTTTACTCCATTAGAAGCTTCCTGTTATGTGTCTTGAATAGATTATTTTATTTGTGCCTTTATTATGACGCATTTATTAAAGATTAGAATTTACGTACTTTTAACGGCGTTGCGCGGTAAATAACGCAAGTTTTCTATTAAGTACATTAATGTAAAACAAAAACGAAGCGCTATAGAGATTCAAGTCCCCTCATCACCAACTTTGTTTCTTTTTTGTAATAGAATAGGGCAAACAAACGTAGAGTTCACTTTAGGTGAAGTAACCCACTAAACATCTAAACAAAATGCGCATGATCATTTCTCGCATACGCGGATATGTGATAGATGCAAAACATAGATAAAAATAATACTAGATACGGATTGATTTGATATCGTGCTGAATTTTAGCTCAAACGGTGCTCTTGAGTTTTTAAATGTACACAAACAAATAAACAAATTAGCAATGTATGGCTATGTAACATTTTTCAATCAATTTATAATTGTCTAATAAACATTTTTTCAGACAATTATAAATTTTACGAGACTTCGTCTGGAAATCTGGATATTAAATGGGCGGTAAAAGCAGTCAAGGTTGATCGCGTTTCAGTCTGTGGATTTCCAAATATTAAAAGCCAAAAGGGCCAACAGCACATCTTGTTTAGATATTACCTATATGGATGAGGTATTTTATGTACACTTTCACTTGATGATACCATCGAAAAACTAACACAACATTTTTAAATAGAATTTTATAAACCGAATTTCAAATGTCAAATCATATCCGAACGTTTTAAATTATGACGATAATAATACGATGGAGCATTTAAATAAAACACTATAACGTCTTAAAACGCAATATATATTAGTTCAACTTATTTGAAAAGTTTTGGGGGTTTCGCAGTAGCCGTGGTCCGGGGCACAAATATTGCGTTTTAAACCGTTAAATTGTACTTAGACTTAAAACAGGATGGAGCAGAATATAATAACAGTATAAAACGAGACATCAATATTGGAGTTTACCCTGTTGAGATCAAAAGCTTCTATGTGCTCAAGCAAAAAAGTAATGCAAGAAGCGATCGGTAATATCCGCCAGAACGCGTTCAGCGGTAATCTGTCCCCACTCCATATCGCCACCGCTCTCACAACAAGAGCAATTTAGAATAAACTTCTTTCCGCCCTATTAAAACAACAAAGCGTTTTCGTTAACAAAAAAGCCCTAACGCGGCCCTTAGCGATCACTTAAAAATGAGAAAAATCTTTTAGGTCATAGCTGGAGCTAAGAAAACGGCCTCTTAAGCTCGACACTTCGCAATTAAAGCGCTTTTCGCGCTGGAATATTTATCGCTTTAGGTTGAGGCGCAGTTGTGACAAGATACAACTCTTTTGCACGTCCACAGCGGCAGTGTTTTTTGGGAAGATATGAATATTTAAATAAACCACTTTAACGGTTTAAAACGCGATATTTATTAGTTAAACTTATTTGAAAATCATTTTTAACTACGACCCGACGTTTCGGATGCTTTCCAGTAGCCGCGGTCACAGGTGTCCCCGTGCGTCACGTATATATCGTTAAACTGTTAAAGTGTTTTATTTGAATGTGTACTACTCGTGTAAACTACAGACAGTATTTAGAAAAATCTTACTATGTTACTACTAAACTAAGTGCTAACAAATTAACAATTTTTTTTCATATAAAACAGTTAAATATTCCATATATTTATGTACTTATTCACTCAGTTAATTCTCTTTGAAAAATTATTTCACGTTTAACATTTTATTTCCACAGAATGGCTGCCGCCGAACAGGTAGCCAATGTAAAAATGAATACGCAAAGCCACCCTTTCAAATCCAATTGTACGGTTTGCAAAAAAGTCAACAGGCGTTCGTACATTGTTTTATTCTTTGTTTTAACTTCGTTATAACGTGAATGTTTTTGAAGTGAAAATTGTGTTTTTAATATAAAGTTGTTTCATTGTGCATTTTATTTTGTTACTCGGGTGGAGGGGGATGGTTTATCTACTGCTTTGTTTATATCGAGGGCCGACAAAGATGTGGTTGACTTGAAGGGAGGGGTAATACCCTAGCCATATGACATCTAAACAAGATGTATGTCCTGTCGGCTTTTCTACTGTGAACGGTGGTTCAGAACCGGACGCAGAATTTCGACGAAGTCCATTTAGAAAACTTATTAATTAATTAATTAACCAATAAGTCGGCAAAAAACTTCGCTCGGTAAAATAAGCCTAAATAAGGAGAGGAGAGAGAAGTAGGATATTGACTAATGTGTGATGTGGAATAATAGGCCGATGGCGTATTTTCCAACCTTCGCGGTCGCGTAAACAAAAGACGATCTTTTGTTATTTCTGGACTTTGCTTTTCATGTTTTTCGGCTGTTTTGACGGTTTCGCCCTTCACGCTGCAGTACTGCATTGTCGGTCTATTTTTGAATTACGGAAGTCTTAAAACTTCTGTTTTATGTGTGTGTTTATTACTCTAAGACGTGTTAGCCTAGTAGTATCAACAGCCGGCTTTGATCGGGAGTTCGATCCCTGGTCGTGCATTAAAAAATTATGTTATTTATGGTTGTATAATAGCATTACTATCATTTAGACTAGATACGCTGTCGACCTGTTTTGACTTTGGATATTCGCATTCGAATTCGTATTGAAATATTGTATACTAGCTGTGCCCGCGACTTCGTCGGCGTGGAATAGGGACTTGAGTTAGAACTTTTAATTATTTAGGCTGTTTATTAATTTATGTAAAGACGTTTTTAAGGCAGCCAATCTAACTGTAAGTGCTTCTTTGCCGCAACACTCTCACCTCACATCACTCCTCCCACTCTCATTTCTAAACAGCCAAAGAAGAAATTATATTGTTCTAGCTTCAAAAACCACGAATTTTCATACAAACTTTTACAGCCCCCCCTCCTCTTTTAACCCCTTACAACCCCCTTTCGCAATAAAGTAAGAAGCCTATGTTCTTTTTCAGAGTCTAGACCATCTGTGTACCAAATTTCATTCAAATCCGTTCAGTAGTTTTGGCGTGAAAGAGTAACAGACAGATAGACAGACAGACAGAGTTACTTTCGCATTTATAATATTAGTAAGGATTATTTACGACAGAGGAGGATAAATAAGATTAAAAAAAAACAAAAAACATATTTGATTTTTATCGTATTATTATTAATGCAAAATCAATTATTATTTAGAGTTGTATTAAAATAATAATCTTGAAAAACCACGAAACGACGTTTGTCCGATCAGCTAGTATCCCCTCCACGAGTTATAATCATCATATACAAATAATATAAGCTGTTTGAAAATACAAAGAAGCCTTCAACCTAAGACGGATTGGGCCGATTTATCTGCGGACGGTACAGCGTTTCGGAGCAGGAAATAAAACGGAGATAGTAATAACACTGCAATCTGGCTGATGGATGCATCGTGCATTTTTCATATTCCATTCCGTTTCGGTAGTACGTGGATATTTTTGGTTTGCCCATATATTATTGCAGACCGTCACTAAGGCTCATTACATTTCGACCAATGCTAAAACGCGCATTGAAAAGACGTCGGGGTTCAAATACCGAGGGTAAATAAATATTGCGTTCGGACAGGGCTTAAATATTCTCTTGTTATTAACAGATATCAATAGATCTGTTTTCGCACACCACTATCATCCTAAAATACATTAAAGCAAGCTTATCATATTATACCTATCTTTAGGCTACATTATATGATTGTGTAAATAAAACCTTAAACATTTTATATCGAAATTCTACAAAATGTCTGGTCATCAACGATACTCCGTCCAGATCCCGAACTATTGACCACAGATAAAAAATCTGTAAAATTTAAGGGCGTTTCGGTTTTACTCTGTGGATTTTCGAATGTCCATAACCAAAATAGATCGACATCGCATCTTGTTCAGCTGTTATTTCACCTCCCATCATGTGAGGCTTATGCTGGCCTATACTCCTCTATCATAAAAATAAATATGTGTTTTTAATAAATATGTTTGTGCAATTGTTTGATTGAATTAAAACTATACTAAAATTATATACTGTCTATAGTTTACGCGAGTAGTACACATTTAAATAAAACACTTTAACGGTTTAAAACGCGATATATTAGTTAAACTTAAAAATCTATATACATATATTGAAAAAAAAATACGACACGAGCGGGGCTTAAACCGGCATCCTCGGCGCTTTGTACTGCTGCTATAATCTACTCTTTTTTTCTACTTCGCCTTTTTCATGAATTGATACATGCACCCCCTCCACAATGTAATTTCAACCTTAACACTTACGTATTAAAGTTATTTGTATTTTTTTTCCAATCTAATTACATTTTTAATTTATATCCCGCCAGCATGTTTTAAAATTGTTTATCTGTGTAAATTTTGTTTAGCTTATCTGTTTGTTTACTATACTCTACATTAATAAATACTATGAGCTCCATCATATACTGAAATTCAGTAAATACCAAGCGCTGAGTCACGTGCCCGTGTTATCACCATTCATAAGAAAATGTATCCAGCTAAAGCTTCTCTTTCAGAGAAAAGCCGTCTATTCAATGTATCCAGGGCTAATGTATTAAGGACGTAATATAAGTCATTAATTAATGAAATGGGTTAAAATAATAGGTACGAAATTTAAGGGCCTCGTTGGTCTAATGGTAGCAATTTATGGCTAATAATCAAATTATCTTTTAATTTTTTTAAATTTATAAGTTATCTGAAACAAGAAGAACATGTCTGAAAATCTGAATAGGTGGATCGGAATAAATAAATTCCGTCTGGGTCATGACCACTACAGATGAAAAAACCGCGAACCATAAAAGCGTATCTGTTAAGTTTCTGTGGATTGCCTAATATCCAAAGCCAATAGATTGACAGCGCATCTCATTTAGAAGCTATAAGCTGGTGTATATCCGACCTACGCTTGTTTAAAAAATATAGCACGAGCGCTTGTATTTAAAAAGGTATGAAATTGAAGGGGCATGTTGGTCAAATGGTCAATTTATGGGTCGTATTTTCGACACACAGGGTACAAAAGTTTCGAATAATTTTATAATTTCCTAGAACATGTTGAAGATCATCAGGAAAATCTAACAGGTAGCTCAGTTGGTTCGAGGAACAGCACGAAACACTGTAGGTTGAAGTCCGCCGTTGTAATTTTTTTTTAATCTTATTTCGTTTTTTAATTTATATAACGCCATCTTGTGCAATATAAGACGTGTAAAAATATTGTTTATAAACAGAAAAAAACTCGTTATAAAACGTGAAAACCCGTTCCCTCCGGTAGTACACGGGGCGGTTTTCTTTGTCAGTTTCACTGATTGGTTTTGTTTACTGGCACGTTTTGGAATTAGTATTTTTGTGTCGTTTTGGGCTTTTATCAAGGATGGGTGTAGGCTATAAAACATTAGGCTGCAATCTACAGGAGCGAAGAAACAATAAGAAATGTGGAACAAACGGAGAAAATGATTCTTCTTTGAGAGTTTCTTTTGCGTGCGTTACGAAAACGGTTAAAGGTAACCTTCAAAGATATGTATGGAAGAATCATTCCTCTTTAAATGTTGTATATGGTGATAGCGTCCCGCCTCGCTGGTCGCTAAATAACTAAAGCTACGACTAGTTATTAAATAATTACAACATTTATTATAAAATGTTTATTTAATTGCCTTTCTAAATAACTAACTTGAAAAAGACTAGACATCTTAGTTTTCTCTGTCAAATTGTGTAGACATAGTCTGTTCTGACGAGGTATTTCATATGTGGGACAAAGACGACACATCATTATTCATCTGCCTAATGTGCTGACCATACATTTATCACCTCAATGATGCGTGATGGATGAGGTGAAAATGGGATGCGCGTTCCAACTAAACACGTTCAGTTTTACACATTAAGAATCATTATGGGATTCAATTGGGTTTTTCATCTGGCAACATATCGTTATTTTATATTATGTATACAGCAATGAAAATAATTTGTATGTATCTATACTTATATAAAAAGCTAAAGAGTTTTTTGTTTGATTTTCAATTTATTTCATCGAGGAGGGCTATAGGCTATAAAACATCGCGCTGTGACTTATAGAAGCAAAGATACATCCGGAAATGTGAACAAAACGGGGTAAGTTTTTCATGTCTGTGGGTTTCAGATGCGTACGCTGCGAAAGTGGTATAAAAGAACTAGCTGAGCCGGCTAACGTTGTTTTGCCATTTAAATAATTTTACTAAAATGTCTATTAAAAAATAAGGGTTGATCGTAGAAGAGTGAAAATTGAGGATTAAATGTATTTTTGTATGTTGTACCATAAAAAAATAGAAATTAAAAATTTTGTTCAACAATTAAAAAAAAAATTTAAGGGTGAACCACCCTTATCACTTAGGGGGATGGAAAATGTTGTCCTATTCTCAGACCTATTGAATACACATATAAAATTTGGTGAAAATCGGTCGAGCCATTTCGGAGGAGTTCAAGTTCGAACACCGCGACACGAGAATCATTATTGGACACATTTGTATTTTCGTCTGTCAAAATATCATTGTCTTTATATTATCCGTCATACAGCAATGAAAATAATTTATCTGTCTATTTAATACAATTGTCAAAACAGATTGTAACAGATCGACGAGAGGTTATAGATAAAATGCCTGAAAGAACAACATCTATGGTGCCTGTCTATACTTTTCTCTTGTTCAAAATATTGCTACTATAAAGAAATGAATTCTAACGACCTTAAACGGTTGTAAATAAGAAATATATTTATTTGTTTATATAAAAGTACGTGAAATCCTTCGTGTTGAAAAGTAAATATAATAATATATCGCGTTTTAAACCGTTTTAAAATTCTTTAAATGTGTACAATTTGTATAAATAAATTATGTAATCAATTTGCATATCTAATATAATATACATTGTATGAAATAATATTAAATTGGTCACAAAACACCGTCCACAGATAAATAAATGCGTTTCGCATTCAGTCTGTGGAGTTACAAATAACGAAAGCCAAAAAAAGTCGACAACACATCTTGTTTAGATGTTATATGACTGTGGTGTTTTACCTACCATCAAATAAACATTTTATTTATTAGCTCCCTGTTACTTTCTTCAGCCGTGTCTACCAATACCAGTACAATTCAGTAGTTAGAAATAACAAAATCAACAATATTTACCACCTACAGAACCCGTAAAACATCATCGATCTTATTATTCTTAAATTTATGACTATTTTATGAGGAGACTTTATGTCCATCTCGGTGCTGGCATAAATAACGAGTTTACGAGTTGTTCCAACCTATATCTCGCTTTTATGAGGTTAAGTGATGCTGTGCGTGGAACGAAAATGGATGGGTGCATAAACTTTTAAACGGTAACTTATCTTTGCCTAACACTTCTGAAAAATTAAAGTG